TGTATAGTCAAATAAATTAATAACACTCTTATTTGTTGATGTTTTTATGCAATAATTGCCACATTATTACTTAGTTCCTAATTTATCAAGCCATTTTTTTCTTTTATCAAGCCGTTTAATTATTTCTACATGTATTTCCAGTCATGGCAGATGTAGTCCTCCATATTCAACAGCATCTGAAAATCCTATTGTAAAAGATAATGTTTTAGCAAAAAAGGAAATAAATGTAAAAATAAAATAATAATCCTTTAAAAATGTGTAAATCAGATGAAAGAGAGTATGTTTATATTAACAGCAACTCCATTAACCATCTCCAGGGTGTTTAGATAAAATAATCAGAGGTGTCAATTACAAATTTAAAACTTAATTACTGTATAATTGGCTAACTGGATGCAAAATATTTTGTTAACAATAAAAGGTTGCAGTTGTGTGAGCATCATAATTCACCATTAAATAACTAACATGCAGTCATTGTTGTTGCCATGGATGCTAATAAATTCAGTTATATTCATAACAAGAAAGTAATTCCTGAAAATACCACCCACCAGGTTTTTAATATCCACCTTTGCACTTTTCTTTTCCACTGTGTTTTTTTCCCCCCAAGGAGTGCATGAAACCACAGCTCAAAAATATATATATAAACTGCTTCAGCTGTTCTTTTTCCTAATCATTTCAGACAAGTTTTGGTATTAAAAATAGGACATTTGTCTTTTTGATTTCTGTTTTCTTTACAAAATCAAGGGAACAGGGACATTTCAAAGCTGATGGTTAGTTTAAGACAGGGGTGTCAAACTCCAGTCCTCGAGGGCCGCTATCCTGCATGTTTTAGAGGTTTTCCAGCTCCAACACACCTGATTCAGTGATTGAATTAACTCTTCAAATTGGGCAGAAGCCTGTTAATTACCCAGCGATCAAAATCTGGTGTGTTGGAGCAAGAAAACCTCTAAAACATGCAGGATAGCGGCCCTCGAGGGCAGGAGTTTGACACCCCTGGTTTAWGAAATATGAATTCTGCTTCTAAACAGCATTAGTTGACATTTGAAATGAACATTTATTCTGTAAAACACTTAATTATTTAATTATTTCAGAATAAAAATGTTAAATGGCTTTATCACATTTATAATCCACTGAACTTTTCATTTTTAAACTCCAACTTACTTTAGAGGAAAATCTTGTTTTGGGTTTCAAGTTGTCAAGAGATTTGTTAGTTTGTGTTTTAAATTTTGTGACCTGACAGATGAAATTTAAAAGCATTGAAGTAAATTAATGCTCATTACCTTTTGTACACTTTGGCAGCGTAGTTTGTCAGTATTTTAGATGTGAATGTGTTTAAATTAATTTGAAATGAAATGAAAATAAAAGAAGTGTGCCTCTTTAAACAACATTTTTTTTGTGAAATATTTAATCAAAACTGTCCAGCATCCAGTCAAACACAATACTGTGGAGCACAAAAAACACAATTCACTTTCATAAATCACTTACTAGAAAATCTGTTAGAGAAAAAAAAAACATTATTTGAAGGTTACAGAAATATGTAACAACAGTCAAATCAATGGACAGTCAGAAAGTCATATTGCAATAATTTGTAAAGTTGTGTCAAATCCAGAATACAGATTTTCACAAACAAACATAACAAAATTGCATAATAATGGACAGTTCTGAAAAAAAAAATTACACTAACCATATTTTTCAGTGTTTCTACATCTTCATTTTTTTACATCTAGATATAACTAAACAAACTTATCCAGATTTAAATGTCCTCTTTATGATTAGGTGAAATGTTAACTGTCAGCTGGCAACATTTTGGACTTAAAACCACAAAATTAGAGTACAACAAATGACAAAACAGGACAAAAACACCCTAAGTTTTATTATTTAGTTTTATGGGTCGACATCATGCAAGTTTGTTAAAAGAAAAGGGAATCAGTCAGGCTTCAGTCTTATAACAAAGCATTTAGCGTGATTATTATCAAACACTGAAGCCATAAAAAAAGATCAATTCGTTTTTTTTATTTTCTTGCTCAGAGCTCTGAATCGTGACCTGTGGACTGCTGGATGACAGTAGCAGTTATTTATAACTGCTATCAGGTTTCTGTCAAGTGTTAACAGAACAGTGCTTTTTACAAGCTAAATGACTCACAATGCTTAACATTCTGACAATATAGCAGCAAGAAAAAAGCTTCTTTGTGTGTCAACCTTTTTCTCAGTAGTACCCCTAACCTGCAGAGGTGTGTGAACTGTGAATCAAAATGTACTTGCACGAGGACTAACGAACATTTTGAGTTCGACTGCAGAATAATGAAGACAAATGGTCAAGCGATGGTGGCTGAGTGAAGAAGGACGTGTTTTTTGATGGCGAAGATCCCCACCCCATAAAACTTGAAGCCCCCTCAGTTGTACGTCACAGGGGTGATGATCAAAGGAGCCACGTTTTTACCTTCCTCACTGCTGCAGGGGCTGAAGAATGGAAAAAGCTTCCCGGTGAAGTTGCATCCAAAAAAGGAGTAGATGTTAGCCCTCATATCCACATCATAAAAGGATACCTGGCCCTCCTCGTAATCTACAAACACCCCGACCTTTTCAGGTATGGTCCTCACATGCAGTTTGACTGGAGGACCTGCGTTGGCTGTTAACTCGCCTCCTTTTCTCAGCCAGATTGTCCAGTATCCGTTCTTTGGGCTCAGTCTTATGTCCCCCTTCCTGTTGATGACCTCGTAAGCCACYCCTAAATCCCACTGTGTCTTGTCTTTTACCAGAACCTCGTAGTAAAACTTTCCAGAGGAGAAACCTTCCAGTGCCAAAACGTTGAGGACGTGATCAAACCTCTGTGGTTTGTGCGGGACCCTGTTTCGGTTTCCGCACGCGACTCGCTTCCCCCCGTCGGAAACAATGAGCTCAGAGTGCGCCGTGTCGGGATCGAATGTCACGTTCACTGCGTGTTTCTGCTTGTCTTTGAAGGAAGGATCGCACACTTTGTTTACCTTAGCTGTGACTGATGTCTCCAGCTTGGCCAAGCTCTCYTGGATTGCAAACTGGTCTGCGTTAAACCCCACATCAGACCAGTCCTTCACCTGAGGGCAAACTATCGGAAGAGAAAGAACGCTCTCGAGAAATTTCAAGGGGTCGCTTGTCAATGAAATGCTATTAAGCTGCTGCTTTTTCAGCTGTATTTTCTCAATTTCTGCATTCAGTTCTTGAATGAAGTCTTTGGCTTCTTTTTCTCTTGTTTTCAGTTTTGTGTCGATGACCTCAGTTAGCTCTTGTTGGCTTCTCTTCATGTAATCCACCAGAGCAGCCATCGTGTCTCTGCTACACAACACTRCCTCCTCTGCATTATTTCTGCTCGCATCCAACGAGCGTTGAATYGCACATATTTTCTGCTGACGGGCCTGGATCATCTGATCCGTGCCTTTTCTCTCTATTCCCAGCTGTTCTTGTCTTGTTTCAGCCTCMTCTTCCAGAGTCACCGTCTCGTGCTTTTGATGCTCTTCATTTCGGCAGAGCTCACACAGAAACATGTGATCCGCTCTGCAAAACAGCTCCAAAGGTTCACCGTGCGTCTTGCACAACCTGTTCTCCAGGTTATCGACCGGGTGAATTAGTTTGTGTTTTTTTAGGGCTGGATTTTTCAGATGAGGCTCCAGATGGGTTTGGCAGTAGTGTAAGAAGCACACTAAACAGGATTTCATGGCCGTGGACTTTGGCTCTGTGCATAGATTGCAGAGCACGTCTCCGCTCCCAGCGTGTTCTGCGGCACTCGAGRACTGATTTCTAACCRTGGTTTTGAATTTTTCCGCCATCTCGGCAATGAAAATGTTAACTCGAAGCATCGGTMTGGTGGTAAACTCCTCTTTGCACAGTGGGCATGGAAATAAAGTTCTAAAATCTGTCCAGTGTCGTGTAATACAGTCAAGACAAAAGGTGTGCCCACAGGGAATTGACACAGGTTTAGTGAACACATCCAGACAGATGGCACAGCAGAAGTTTTCTTCAGCTATTAGACTTTTGGTCGAAGCCATTTCTAAAAAAACATAAGAATAAACATCAAAAAACAGCATTAGAGGAACAATATATCTGTTTCAACACATTAAACAAATAAAAACCTGAGGGTAAAGTTAAAAAAAAGAAATATTACCTGCTTTATGAAAGCTTCACAGAAACTTCAAAATGTATAGCAGACTAAAACTTCAGTCAGCCCGTCCTTTGCTTTCACTTTCGCTTGTGATTACACTTCCTGTGGAAAAAATTAACCCTTTCCATGCGCAATCAAACAGCTTGAGAATATTTCTTTCAGATTCCTTTTATRTTGATTAAAAAAACAGTAAAAGTGTCTCAAATCTGTATTTCAAAGGCCAGCAGTTGCAGCGRTTTGTTTTTGCTGCACATCATTCACGTTACATTTGACTGTTGCTGCTTTTCAGTCAGAAACTGCTTTCATGTTAAGCATTAGGCACAGATGAAAATAGAGTAAAACAACAATAAACGGTGCCAAATGCACAACAGCCGTGTAAATATGCATTCAGTATGTACATGTGTTTTTTATGATGTAAAGTTTGAGCATCTGTGGGGGGGGGGGGGGAAACAACAAATAAATGTAAAACCTGTCATCCTGGGTTTGGTCTCACAGGAAACAATGTTTCCTGCATCTATGAGGGCTTTTTGAAAGATGAAAGCGTTCATGTTTCCATGAATTTTTCAATATGTTAACAGCTTCCTGTGTGAAACAGAGTTTTGAATCCTTCCTGTGCTCGCAGTCAGATTTGAAGGAATTCAGATGTGAACGTTTTTTTTTTTTTGGAAGCTCAGTTTAAAAATAGAGACATGGATGTGAATTTCAGTGACATATTCATTTGCAGTAAATTTAGTTGGTATTCTCATATGTGGCTGTTATGTTTGTTATATACATTAAATTACAAGTWTATGTTTACTGTAGTTTTTGTGTGAAGCTGAGTATCTCGTATGGCGTTAACATTGGCGATGTTATTTTATTTATTTTTTTTCACTTCAGTAGAAATTTAATCTTAGGTCGTATTC